GACGCGTCAGTTTCGAAAAAAAAAAATTAACATTAAGAAAGAAGGATACTGTTTATTATGGTGTTTCTAAAATAAATAAGCACTTAATATACAACATGATCATTAACGATAGTGGATATAGCCCTTTATGGAGATATGATATTAATAAATATGAAGTAAGTTTCATCATTGTTATTGCTCATTGGTAAATTTGGATTTATAACGACCATTAAAAATCACTCATGAATTTATGGAATTAACAGAACAAAGTATATCAATAGATTATTAGTGCTCTGGAATCATGATAAAAATTTTATTTCACTAAAAGAAGTAACTCGGCGAAGGCCAGGTCGGAAATCGCTCTCATGCAAAATTAGATAATTTTAATCAATATAGTAGACTGCGTGGAAGTACATAAAAGTATATGTTTATTATCATAGGACTGTTCTTTTCAACATCTATGATATATTACAATTACCCTTAGACATTAACTTATTCATTTAAAAGTTTATTAAGTAGAAACAAATGTTTAATTTTATATAAATGTCGGCCTTTAATGTGCTTTTTGTTTTCAAAATATTTTTTCCACGACTAAATATATTTGTAGCCGATTTCGGCTATTTGTAGGAGATATCATCTACATATTTACTAAAATTAATTGCTCAAGTGCAAAAATATATAAAGTTTTAGTATTTTTATATTAGTTTTCCCTGAGATCACATTTAGGCTTAGAAAATCAAAGAAAACACAATTAAGAATTGAAGTACATTACTTAAAATTCAGTTTTTACTTAAATTCAAATTGTATTAAATATAAATGATTTAAAACAAAATCGGAACGAAAATATTTTAAATCTATTGTTAAAACCCTATAAGAAGTATCTTTAGTTTTTCTAAATAACTTAAGATTACTAAAAAATCATTCGCTTCTATTAAAACTGGATAGAGTGATGAAATTAAGTGGGTGGATAATGCACTGTACATTACACAACATAGGTAAGGGTTTATATTCTTTAATTCTGTTTATAAGAGGTGATAGTTAACGAAAGCAATTATTATCTTGTCTCAAAGATTATTTAATCTGATTTTAGATTCAGTTTTATATTGAAAAGAACTATACTGTCAATATACTGGTCAGGCGCGGCATACATTTTGAACAATATAAATAAATATAGGCATTTCCGTCTCCTCTTTAAAGAGCCTAATCCAACAAAAAAATACTAAAAAGGCAGATATAAGTTAATGAGTATTTTAATAAAACAATCTTATATAGTTGTCGTTACTTTAATAGCCCAAAAGAATCCAAGAATCAATCCACCCCTCAATAGCTGGGGCGGATTCAGAGGATGTTGGGTGTTACCTTATAGAAGAAACTTACCACATATGAAGGCAAAATTACCACAACAGAAAAAATACTTTGCTATTAAGAATTGGACTAGATTAAGTTGCTTAAAGGAAATTCCGTTGAAGTAATTACGAATAGTGCATGGAAGAAACAATGTCTACCCAGCTTTCATCAGAAAAGATTTTATCTTTTGAGAGATGTTATTTTCAAATAATTGACGAAGCTTGGTACAATTGAGCTAATATAACTTAAATGAGTATTTTATCATTCTTGACTGATTTACTAATTACAATTAAAAATAGAATGTCTAATACATAAATAATAATTTTTATTTTATTCGTACAAGCCAGCTCATAAGGTTATATTTGTTTTAATATACTTCTAGTTATAATATTAGTAATTCTTATTACTTTAAGTATAAAAATTAAAAATTCATGGAATTTTAAGCCAATTACATTTTTTTTTTGTAAAGATATAATAAATCAATTGCTTCAAGTTTTAAATTAGAAGCTTGTCACTTTTCTAAAAAATAATTATGGTACATTTTATTAAAGTTTAATGGTAATACCACGGAATTCCAGAATTAAATCAAAGTTTTAATTTGAAGCTTTTTAGTTCTTCATGTTTGAATTCCATCGTAACCAAGAGATTAAAATTTTTAATCTTGATTTTTAAATTGTAAAGGTAAGGCATAAGACGATTTGCTGAAAGAGTTCAGTAAAGTATATTTTATAAATTTATCTTTTTTCTTCACATGTCTAGTATCGATTCTAATTTAACTAATTACCTGTAGAAAGAATCTATAGTTTTATTTTTTAAATGAAACATACTATTAAAAATTCTATATCTTTTAAACAGGAATTTAGAGCATAAAGTTATATGTCTCTAAAGTAACATATATCAAAATCATTTTTGGTGGGTTGCCTTGTTTTGGCGTTGAGAGAGTTTCTCTTCCGTTCCAATAACGTGTAGGATCTGTGTTATTATCACTCATCCAGGCATAATAAGATCCAGAATTTTTTAAACTTTTAAAACTATATTTCGCGGTTGATGGAGAAGAATATTTATATTGACAATTTCCGTATTTGATATATATAACTCTTTTTTTAATCTTTTATTACATTCCAACATTCTATAAAAATTATGAAATGTAAAAAAATATGATTAAAAAAATGTTAAAAATTTTATTTCATATCAGGTATGAAATAAAAGATAATGTAATAGATTATAGCAATTAAGACTATAGAAACTTAGAGATATCCACAAAAAATTTTTCAACTTATTTTAATATTATTTCATAATAGTTATTCACTATAATAAAAAATATTTTTTCAATAAACTTTACTTAAAAATATATATTTTTAATTATTTTAAATAATAACTTCTTAATTTTAAAAAAAAATCAACAAATGAATTTGAAATCAATTTTCATGAATCTCTTGAAGTACTTTTCTTTGACACTCCACATCTCAGGTAATATTATATATAATATATACTTTTTTCTTTATGATTTTTAACGTTCCTTTGAGAGAGTAATTACTAATTGCTACTAATTGATTGAAATAAAGCTAATAATGACATAATTTAGTTTGGAAAGCTTAAACATCTTTAAAGTTAGCTATTATGTACATAATACTCTTCTTCATTTCTTCAGCAATAACATATAATTCCTTAACAACCTATTCCCTTAACAACCTATTCATGGAATATTCATTTTTCTATTCTCTATTATTTTTGAATATAAATAAGTAATAGCTTTTTAAATGTGAATTACTTATATAGGTATATTCCTGTGAATGACTACATGTAACAATATTTTGTAAGTACAAGTAGTTTTAAAACTTAAATAATAGTTAGTGTCTTAAAAAAAATTACATAATTACATAAAATTACATAAAAAAAATTACAAAAAATATATAATTTGAATAGATCAAGAAACAATTGTTTTACATTTAAATAATTACTTGTTGGGCGATTACAGACATGACTCGTCCTTGGCCGTGTCGAGTAGCCTCCATCAGCCAGCCGGATTAGTTGCTTTCTGTCGCCATTTGGTAGTACCCCCAAATCTTTGGTCACCTGGTCCTTTCACCGAAGATGCGGACGTTCTCCACCATGTTTTCCATCAACGGGTACTGAATCAAACACCTTTCTAGCCAGAGTACTTTCTTCCATTAGCACGAGATGACCAAGCCAGCGAATTTTTATACGCTTAACTACATCAATGTCGCGGTATATCGTTTTATCTAAGAAGATACTTGTTGCCAACGTATAATAGACCATAGATCTTCCGAAGAATTTTTCTCTCGAATGCTCCTAACGCCTTCTCATCACTATTGGTAATTGGCCAAGCTTCTGCACTTAAATAAAATAATTTTAATAATTTTAAATAATTTTTTTCAAGTTCGAAATATAAATATTTTAATTTAAGTGTATAATATTTATTTTGTTACTTTTTACTCTCATAAAATTTGTATACATAATACAATATATAAAATATTATTATTTATTTACGTTATCACAAAAATGAAATCTTTAGAGATATATAACTATAACACTACATTTTTATAATGAATATTTTAAAAAACAAAAATATGTGTTTTTAAGGACAGCATTTGAAAAAATATTTTAAAAATAATTTTTACAAATTAAAATTTGATTTAAAATTTTGTTTTAAATTATATGTATATTGATCCTAATCTCTGAATTTAATTTTTTATATGCGACCAATATTTGAATATAACTTATATAAGGAAAAGAGATAAAATTTTAAATATTTTGCGAATGATAAATTTTTATAGTTCAACTAGAATAAATTTCAAGGTAAAATGGTGTTAAATTTTTTATAATTCATCCACAAAGGTGTCAACACAAATTATGAAAAAAAAATATATATAAAATTTTGATCAAGCGTATTGTCAAACCTCATTAAAGATTTACTGGCACAGCGGTGATCAACGTCAATGGTTCGTTACCATAAATTGTTTTACCTTTTGTTTATATATGTAAATAAATTATTATAGTCTCTTGGTTGATATGCAAAATAATTTAAAAAATTTGCTACATTAAAACTAAGTAAAGAAACAAATTTATCTAGAATTAGCAAAGATATTACAAGTAGATGGCCCATTCAAATGGCTAATGTCTTGACTTTGTTCTGTTCATTCATAGTATTTTTGGCTATCATTAACATAATTATTTGTTATGAACATATTACATTCTTTACTTATAAATTGGCTAATATTAAAAACTTTGTTGTATCTGAAATTACCAATTAGCGTGATTAGTTTGTAGTGCGTGTATAGGTACAGATATAGCACCACTTGGCAGATACACCGTCATACGGGTACGTAGTAGCGTTGACGGTTTGCTTAGCATTCGCAAACCAGTTCGATGTTGCTGAACGAAATGTATAAAATAAAATAATAAATTTATTAAAAACAAAAAAAAAAGATATTGCCTCACAAGAAATTTTAGCAGAGACTCGATTTTTTTATATAAAAGTTAATTTGTCACTGGGATTCTTGACAGTAACGAACATATTTTTGCGCTGTAAACACCAAGTTTTTTTGAAGTTTTTTATCTAAAGCAGTGCTGAAAACATAAAAATTGTCGAAATTATATTTTTAAAAAAAATTTTTTTACTTAATATTCAAAGGAGTTTGGAAATGTGTTATAATTGATAAACATTTTATTCAAATCAAATCGAAAAATAAATATATATATAAGTAACACTCGATGTTTACGACTTAATTCAGATCTTGATTTCAAAATAAAGAGACTGCAATTGTGTGATAACGAGCTTCGCAAATAAAAAGTATAAAAGCTCAAATTGAAATAAATTTCAAAGATTCGAATTCGTTTTTTAGCTCGAAAAGTGCGATTCTGTTTACAAATCTGCGTGTTTGAGTTTCCGATTAGTCTACAAAAACAGTGAGAAGATACAACATATTTTTTAGTGCTTATTTGCTAATTTTTATAATTTTTGCGATATTTTCGTTTTGGAATAACACTTTGACGTCTCTATCAGATAATATACAAAAGGAAGGAATAGACAAAATGGCTGCTTGTAATTTGAGAGTAAGTAATTTAAAAAATATCCTTGTGAAAAATGTGTTTTGTATTCCTATACACATAGAATTTATAAACTACAACATATAATTAACATTGACATTGAACAAAGGATTAAGCCCTTACGATTTAGTCTTTAGATTATAGTAAAATAGCATAGTAAAATATTTACCGAAAATATTTGTTGTTTTGAATAGAAACAATTGTTTATAAATAAAAGTTTTAAAAACATTAATATAAAAATATTTATATAAGTAATAGCGTGACGAGTCCTTATTCATTACATGCTCAATTTAAAAGTTTTATTTCCTTTCTTTTTATTATTCTATAATAACCATTCTATAATAATATCGTAATGTGAATAATTAAAAAATCAAATAATAATTACTTTTTAATCTAAATCTTATAATAAATTGTTATTTCGACAAATATTCAATACATGTTTTTATTATTACTGGGCTTAGGTCGTTAATTTAAAAAAAGAGTAGAGGAGAACACGTGGTGAGAAATAAGTGAAAGTATTTTAAAATAATAAAATGTAGTTCAATAATGTATAATAAAAATAAAACAATAGTAACTAAGAATCAAAAAATAGTAAATAATTATTTAAAAATAAGTTTGAATAAAAAAGGATTTCGAAATTAACATTACCTGAAAACTATTTTTTAAATGTTTAATTGTTAATGGAATTATATCTTTATATTATAAATAATTATATTTTTTATTTATAATATTTAATAATATTTATAATATAATAAAAATATTATATACTATAATATATATATAAATATTTAAATATAAAATATTTTATGTATTTAAATAATATAAATTATATATATTAAATTGTATTATAAAATATTATAAATATTTTTTTTGTATCTGTACGAAATATCTCTAAGGTAATATAACTTAACTATACTTTTATAGCTATTGAAACTGTAGGTCATGTGAGTGTAGGTCAGTCTTAACTGAGTTCTTATTAAGATTTTCTACGTACTAGGCAAATAGCCACAAGGCTATTCTGTCGTACTTATTTTGCCATCTTTAATATACCAATTCTTCTCTTAAACCAATTAAAACAAATATTGTGTATATTATTTTAATACCCAATTTTTTAATGTTTCTGTTATTAAAAAAAGAAATAATTTTTTTTTATAATAACAATAGTAAAAATAAAATGATGTAGACGAGAATACTAATTAATTATTATTTGTATAATAAAAAATATATAATAAAATATAAATAGAAGAAAAACAAAAAATAAAAAAACAAGTAATAAGAGAAACATATATAAAAAATCATAAATACAAAATAGAAATGGAAAAATAAATATTATGAAAATATGAAATTATAAGAAATATATTGAAATGAAAGATATAAAATTTTTATATATATAAAAGAAAGTTTAACATTTCATTTAGTAGAATATAGTTTCTGAAGTATGATTTGTATTCTTAATTAAAATCCACAAAGTGCTATTTATTTAAATATTTATAACATATTTCATTTAATTATATGAAGCAACCACAAAAATCTAAAAAAAAAAATAAATCAATTGCTAGTTTATATATATATATATATATAATAATTGAATTTGTATTAAATCAATTTTTTTTATGTCTTATACAACAATTCATAAAAAAAATATTATTGCAGTTTAGTGGTCTTAAGTCTTATTAATAATTAATAATTGTTATAATTTATTAATTGATATAATAATATTTTAACTATTGTTAATGCAACTTCCTAATTAAAGCAATCATTTTTGAACATAAATCAATAAATTATAATAGCTTATTAATATTATTAATTTTTGTGATTAAAAAATTTGATTGTTTTGATTAATTTTTTAATTATGATTAAAATTAATTTCAATTTAATTTTTTAACACAACTATTAATTATTAATTATTTTATTCCAATATTTCGACCAATTCACCTATATATTAATAATATGTACAATTCATTTATTTAAAAAATTATTTTGTAACCAAAAATTTTAAAATACGGTTTTTTAATTTTTTTTAAGTTTTCTTTATAAAAAAATTTAAAACATAAATTTATTTAGAAATAAATACATATGTATTCCTACTTTTTGAGGATACCAAAACTTGATTTTTTTTAAATAAAACTAAGTTAATAACTTAAAGTTAATAGTACTGTTATGAAGATTAATATTATTGCTATAAGAAAGCTTTGAACTCCTTTATTTTTGAATTTTGAATTCCATGTTTAAAAATCATTCCTTTATTGCAATTATAACACTATACATAAAATTTAAATAAAGAGGTACATTTTTTGCTATAGATGATTTTGAAATTAAAGTATAGAAACATAAAATAAAATGTGTAGTATTTTGTTAAAAATATAATTAAATTATAAAAATTAATTTATTACTAATACGTTTATTAAAAAAACTAAGTACTTTTAAATTGTTCTTGAAAGATTTTTATTTTTATAATAATATATTTTTTATGTTATTCAATAAATTTAAAGTTTCTTTCAACTGTTAAAAAAGATAACTATTATTATTAAAATTTTTAAAGGCGCTAGTTTTTATAATCTTATAAGCTTAACTAAATATTTTATACATTGTAAGTTTGCTTTCTTCAAACGAAACTTTGTATTATCATTTATCGATAATGTATTAAGATAAATTTTAATTTGTTTATTTTATTCTATATTATACAAGTTCAATTAAAATACTTTTCAAAATTCATACTTGATATAATCATCATTTTTTGCAAAAATCTAAAACTTATTTATTTAATTTTTTTCAACATTCTAAATATTTTAAACTGTTTAAATTTAACTGATTGTATTGTTTCTATTAACTTTAACCGTTGTTCTTTTTTTTTTTTTAAATTATCATATAAACACCAGTTTCAAGTTGATTTTTCCTAAAAATAATTTTAAAAACAATTAAAAAATAAATAACTTATCCCGTGCATATTATATTATTCCATTATACTTAGTTATCTAGTCATTTCAAATGAAATATTAAGTTTATAATCTAATTTTATAGAAATCGAAACCTGATGATACGAATTTCAAATGTGAAACTGTCAAGAATAGAATAAAGTTGAGTACAAAAGTAACATATTTCACTTTTACTTTTTAAAAACAAATGCTATTAAAACGATTAACTGCGAAAGTATTAAATAGATGCAAATATATTCAGATTTTTAATCAAGTTTAATTAAAAAAAAACGCCATAATAAAAATTAAATACATAATAATCAAAAAAGAAGTATAAAGCGATTAGGAATAAAAATTTACATATAATTTAGTTTTTAAATATTTGATAAAAAGTTTTTATATAGAATTTAAAATTTTTTTTAAAGTTAAAAAAAAATTAATTGCCAGATCATTTCAGATTTTTATTTACTTAATTTTAAGTTATAAAGTTTGTGACCTTTTATAATATACATTGTGACCGAAAAGTTTTCGGAAATTCTCATTTAAAATTCGCGCGCTGTATATTTTTCGATATTTTAAGTTTATGTAGTTTGGCAGCACTGTCCTTAATTACTATGCCAAAAATGAGCGCGATCTGTCATGACAGTTCGTTTACGGCAGCTGTTGAAACCAGTTCACCTCAGTAGTGCGTTGCGAAAAAAACAATGGAAAAAAATATTGAACAAAGAGTTTGCATCAAATTTTGTTTTTCGAACGAAATTTCGTGTGCAGAATCGTTGCGAATGCTACAAAAGGCTTATGGGGAATCAGTTTTATCGAAAACTCAAGTTTATGAGTGGTACAAAGCCTTTCAGGACTGTCGTACGACCGTCGAAGACATGCCGCGTTCTGGACGACCTTCGACCTCTACCACCGACGAAAACATTGAAAAGGCAAAGGAAATCGTGTTCAAAAATCCTCATGTGAGTGTTAGAGAGATAGCACGAGAGCTAGGCATCGGTCGTGAGATGGCTCGTTTGATTTTGGTGGACAATTTGTGTATGCGACGTGTCAACGCCCGGCTTGTTCCGATTCACCTCAATTTGTTCAACATTATCAACGATTTTAAGGCCAAACATTCAATAAATACCATCGAACAGCCACCGTATTCACCTGATCTTGCACCGTGTGACTTTTTCCTGTTTCCCAACCTCAAATTACCACTCAGAGGAACGCGTTTTGAATCCATAGAAGACGTAAAACAGAATTCGCAGAGGGAACTCAAAGCCATACCGGAAAGCGCCTATAAAATGTTTTGATGATTGGAAGAAACGTTGGCATTTGTGTATCGCTTCTAATGGAGCATATTTGAAGGAGATAAAATAAATATTGATGAAGATTAAGAATTTTGCGTTTTATTTAAAACGCAAAGGAAACTTTTCGGTCACAATGTATACTTCGGAGGCGGATCTAAAATAGTTTAAACAATATTAAAATTATTTTTATGATGGAAAAATAATAAAAAACTTTAATAGAGTTCTGAATTTAAAATTGGATAGATAATCACTTTTGTTTTTAATGTTCCAGAATTACTTAATTTTAATTTATACTGCTTCGGATATATTCTTTTGTAAGCTATTATTACTACCTAAATTACTACTAAATTATTACTACCATTACTAATTTATTTTATTAGTAAATTAAATTAATTATACAAATACATTTTATTATATTAATATTTATAGAAAACGGATATTTAGAAATTTGTTTTAAATGAAAGAAATATTATAAAAAGACTGATCTAATCGTTATTGTTAGTAAAAAGCGGTTACGGATATTAAATATAGGTATTTCAATCCTTGACTTTCAATAGAGCGTTATAGTTAGAGACTAATATAAAATAATTATAGTTACATCATATAATTATAATTATAGTTGTATTATAAAATTATGATTAAATTATGAAATTATAATATACTAATTTAATAATTATATAATATAATCTCTAATTATAACTATATTACATTATAATATAATAAGAGTTGAACTTGTAGTAGAACTAATGTGTAAAAATAGAGATATAAGCTAATTTTAATATTTGATATTTTATTA